TCCCAATGCTCAGCCCCAGGAACCACTCCAGGTTTGAACAGCTGCACCTTGTTTCTCTGTTTCTCATCTCTGTTGAGTGTTTTCCATAGGACATGTGGCCCAATTTCCCTTCAGACTGTGAACAGCTGGGCCTTTCTTTTTTGCCTCAGTCTTCCCTTTCCTTTCAGCTTCACCTACCAGATCCTGAATGTACTTCAGTGTCTTGGTGGTCTAGAACACAAAACTGAAACTATGTATATGTTGAGTGCCTATGAGGGGGGCCAGGTTTGGGAAAGATAGATGCTTTACCCAAATTATCTCAGATCAATGTCCCAAAAGGTTACAGGTGAGGAAAGTGAGGCTCAGAATGATTGGCCCAAGGTCACACAGCTAGGAAGTATCAGAGGCAGAACTTGAACCCCGATCTGCCCAACTCTACTTACTCCATAATGCAACCAGCCCTGAATAAGACCCTTTTCATGCTGCAGCTGTACATCCTAACTCCTTTGTGGGCTCGATTCTCAGACTAGGGATTTAGAGAAAAAAGCAAAGAGCAGAGAAACTAATGAGGCTGGAGCCACCTCCTAAAAAAAGTCACTGAGTCCTAGGACCAAGACTCAAGTGTGTGCTGATGTAAACATGTGGGAGAATGCATTATCTCCACACCCTTAATTTATCACCCCAACGGTCACTGGACCAGGAGGTATCATCCTGGATTTGCTCCCTTCATCCTGCCCCACAGTGATCTCTTTCCATTGTCCGTTAAAAACTCACCCACATGGCACTTGGCGAATGTCCCAGACAATGAGGCAGCCCTCAAATACTACCCTGCATTACTCTCTTGCTGTCATACAGGTCAGAGCCTGGCCTCCCCAGCCAGACCGTATTTGAGAAGGGTCCCATTTTAGGTTCATATCTGCCTTTGAAGGTAGACTGACTTGAGCTCAAATCCCAGCTCTGCCTTATAGTAACTGGGAGACCTTCTAGCAAGGTGGTTTACCTCCACAAGTCTCAGTTAGCCCGTCTGTATAAAAGAACCACACCAAGTCTACCCAGTAGGAATGTAGGGATCGTATGAAATAATGCATGCTAAGCGTTCAGCTCCATGCCTGGAGTAGGGATGGTAACGGCTGCCACTGGTTATCCTTTGTTTCCTAAAAGGGTCCTGTGGAGGCTCAGAACATTCATGACTAGTATTTGTCTGAAGTAAACAATCAGGAAAGGAAACGACTGTGAAAGCACAACGCCTTCCAAATCCAAACAGAAATAATCTCTTGCTTGTTTTAGATAAACGTGCTTCTCTCCACCACCGTATGCCCTGACATACACCTGCATATGCCATGTGGACACAAAGAATTATGTAGACCTGAACTTGTGTCCCATAGGAGAACTTGCCAATGAAGCAATCTGTAGTTTGCATCTAGCCCTATTTTAAAGACAACTCATCTCAGGCAAAGCCTCAGTTTACTTACGATCTCATAAAAGCTAGGAGAGGAGGCCAGGGAGGCTGACCTAACCAACAGCTGCCCCCTCACCCCCACCCCAAGCAGGAGCTTGGCAAAGAGGAAGGAAGCCAAGGAAGGGCAGATAGCACCATCCAAACAATGGCGGTTACTTGTCTGTCTTTTCATAAACAGACCAAGAGTGCAAGACCTTGGTGACTAGGTAGCGCCTTCTTATCCTAGGGATAAGCACAGCTTTTGCCTGATGTCCTCCTGAGAGAACCTTGGCAGTGTGTTCCTTGAGTTCTGGGGTCAGCAGAGCCCCTCCTGCTTGAGCCCCAGGTCTCTCGTCAGCTTGTTCCAGCTAATGCGCACATCCCATAAAACCTCTCTGCCCTGCAATTTACCAAACCACAGACTCAGAATTAGCCATCAGTGGAGGAGAGGTGGAAAGGGAACATGATTCTCGAGTGTAGAGGGCTTCCAGAGCATACGTGACTTGGGTGCAGCGTGTCCTGCCAGCTAACCACACCAGAGTGCCTTACCCAGAAGACTTCTCGTGTGTGGTGTCCACTGTACAAGGGCCAAGAGAGGAGGAGAACCTAAGGCTCAGAGGCCACAGTCTCCCCAAACCGGCTCCTCCTGCCCCTGTCAGGCATCTTGAACAATGTTTGTTATTCAGCACCCTCTCCTTATGTTACGCATTCATGACCCATGTGTAAGAACATTGCAGCCACCAGATATTTGTCTTCTTAGTCAACCCCAGTCTTAGGGTACATTCGATGAGAAAAACTCACACTCTGGGGATAGGCTAGTCACATCAGGTGCTGTGACGATCTGTGTTGTACATTACTCAGTCTGATTCTCAATCTCCTCATCTGTAAAATGAGAAGATTGAGCCAGAGAGTCTTTGGGTCCCAGCAAGCTCTATGGTTCCACAGTTTATAATACTTTCTTCCTTAATTGTTTTCCAGAATCATAGTTCAAAGCTCTGAACAGCCCCATCTGTTCAGTGACATCACTCCTTGCCCAAACATAATGTCATTGATTCTTACATGGGAAGTGGAGATGTCACCGGAAACACTGTGTCCATAAAAAGGGAGGCAATGATCATTTCAAGGGAACAGGATAGGTCTTCTTTTGCATTTTTCACATAAAACAAGTTATTATCAATCTTTCAAGCCAAAATCTTTCTTCCTTTTTGCCAGATCAACAGCTGATTTTGAAAAGTAGTTTTTTTAGTATAATTTCATGAATAATAAGTTATTATTTAATGAGTCTACTATATGGCAGGGAGTTCTGGTAGCATGGTGGCTAAGACACTTGCCTGCTAACCAGACGGCTGGTGGTTCAAACCCACCAGCCACTCCTCGGAAGGAAGGTTGGGCAATCCTACTTCCGTAGTGATACTGCCTCGGAAACCCAAGGAGGGGTCGCTATGAGTCGGGGCCGACTCGACGGCACATAACAACAACAACAACAACTACATGGCAGGAACTAGGCTATGTGGTGAACAGAGATCACCTCATTTAATTCTCCTGACAGTCCCATGAAGTAGGTACTATTCTTTCCTCACCTTAAAAATGAGGAAATAGAGGCCCAAGGAGGTTAAACAACTTGCCTGAGATCACACGGCTACTAAATGGCAGAGAAGCTTTGAACAAGACCATCCATCTAACTTCAGAGCCCAAGCTCTTCCTCATCTCTCAGTACTGCCTGCAGTGAGTCCCTGGTTGCCTTGGCAACACTCTTGGCTTGTTCCCAGTCTGTCCTGCATCAGTAATCTTGGACACAATTGGCCAGAGCTCAAATTTAATGTTTCACCTAAAATTCACAGCCGGACAAGCACCTGCCTGGGTCTCAGAGCAGAGAGTGCTATCTGTTGAAAGCAGGGCCAACCTTAACCAAAGACTAGAAAAGAGAAACTTAGCCTGCGACATCTGAGAAAAGAGGTTAGGAAGGCTGATTCCATCAGCCCGACAATGCAGAAATGGACATCTGTCCCCAGAGCAGAGCTACCTGGTTACCCAAGCCTCCCAAAGAAGCAGATTTTTGAAACGGCAGTTGAGAAAGGTTTGCTCAACCAGGTAACACAAAAGGAAGGGCTTCCTGATCGTGCCAGGGAACATACCCCATGGGCACTTAGCTCTCTGCCTGGTTATGGGGCCAGCCTCCAGGTTTACCTCTTCCACAGCCTAAGCCCATCCCCACTGGCTCAACTGTAAAGAAACTCAAAGTTCAGAGCTATTGGTGATAAAGGTAGAAAGTAGCCTGAGGTGGAGATTAGCACAAACCCGAGTACAAACCTGTCCCCTTCCAACAGGAAAATAAGGCATTTGCCTGCTAGACAAAGGGTTGGCAGTTCAAACCCACCAGCCACTCTGTGGAAGGAAGACGAGGCAATCTACTTCCATAAAGATTTACTGCCTCGGAGGAAACCTAATGAGGGTTGCTATGAGTCAGAATGGACTCAAAGGCAGTGGGTTTGGTTTTGGTTTTTTTTTTTTTCCAGAGATCAATGTGCAGTCCGTGGCAGCAACTAACAGCCTGTTTTAATTGTTAAAATTAATGCTTGGAGCATTCTAAATTCCCTCTTTAAATGTCTAATTTGCAAATAACATGCAGCCCTGCTGTCCCAGAGACCTCTGTGCTTTGACTGATGCACTGCTGTATGTCTGTTTCTTCTTTCTCAAGTACAAGAGCAGAGATGCTTAGACAGGCGTCCCCAGGCTTCAAGGACACCGTGTTTATTTCCTAAGGTGAGAAGGATGGGAAGACAGGGCTGGCTGAGATGAAAGGGGGACGTGTCACACAGACCCCGGAGGAGCTGGGCCCAGTCACCCTTAGCCCCTTCTCATTAAATTTTGGAAAGGAAGGGGGAGGGGCGGCGACCATTCCTCAGAGACCACTGCAAACATTTGCCTCCTCCTGTCTGGAGATGGAGCATCACTTAAGAGGAAATGAACCCAGTTAAGGGTCACGTCCAGAGGAGGGATAAAAGGAAAAGCCACAGTTCTCCTCACGCCGACTGACACAATGACTTTAAGGAGGAAATCAAAGCTCAGTGCTGAGGGTGGAGGTGGGGCAAGGGGTGCAGCGACTTCCTTTTGCCCCTCACAGGAGAGGCTGAAGCAAACCTCGGAGGCAGAGTGAGGCTTCGCCTTTAAAAGCGTCCCGGGCTGCGTGAGCCCCAGCGACCCGAGCCCCAAGGAAGATGCTTTTTTTTTTTTTCTTCCCCCAACAGAGGTTCTCAGGGAGATTCTGACGAATGCTCCCCGGGTTGGAGGGAGGGGGTCCTCATCTATCAAAGCTCGGGAGGGCAGATGACTTCACCGGTGTAACAGACGAGGCAGCCACTTGCCAATTCCAATGCCAAAAAAAGAATACAGGGAGGGGGAGTGGAGGAGGAACAGAAAAGGCTTCCCTGGAGATCACAGCACCGAGAAGAAAACTCCACAAATGAGGCTGCCCTGTGGGCACTTAGCTCGAGCACTTAGCAGAATGAGGGGCCACCCGGGGAACCCTTCCTGCGGGTGCCCGGACAGCCCTCAGCAGGGGTGAGGTGGGGGCGCAACTCACATAGTGCTTGGAGGGGCTCCTCCGTTTCTCCACGTCCACCACCGTGGCATCTTGCACGCAGTAGGCGAGCATCTTCCCCCACAAAGCGAGTGGCGCCCCCCGGCGGCGTCACCTTCTCATCCCGTCCAGGCTCCGGCTCCTCTGCTTCTCGAGTCCCCGGGGCCACCCGCCACCCCGGCCCGGCGCGCCGCGCCGCTGCCCGGGCTCCCAGTGCCCGCAGGTACCGGGAGGGGGACGGTCCCGGAGGGCTC